GGCTCGAAGCCGATGATCGAGGGCGAATGCGCACGCTCCCCGGTGGCTCGGCCACCTCGCGGAGCGCCTCATCCCGTTCATCCTGCGCAATCAACTCCGGGAGTGTGACTGGGGGGTCAAACGGATCGTCATCCTCAGCTACCGCGGGGACCGACGGCTGCCAATCGCCTGGGGCGACGGCAGACCGATGGAACCCCTCCTGAAGCGGGGAAACATTCAAATCGCAATATTCGTTCCTGTGCTTCTTATGCTGATGAAGTGGCGTTCGGCCCGTGGACTCCCGGTCATGCTTGGCATGATGTTGGGAACTTGATGCAACCTCTGCCGCCCGGGACGAAGCCTCAGCGATTGGGAGAACGGGGGGCGGTATAGGTGTCCCCCATGGCTCGTGTACCGGTGAGACCTCGCGGACTAGGTCGCTGGTCGTGGTGTCTAGATCTGGTTCCGCAAATGCCTCCCCAAGAGCTTCCAAGTGATCGTAGTCGACGGTCTCCTGTCCTGGGGATGACTTTCCGTCTTGGACCGGGCAGTCGGCAGCGTTCAACAACGGCAAAACTCGGCTTGGGGACATTCCATACGCGGCATACTCCATGTTATCCTCCATCGAATTGACATCGTCTTCGTCGTCAAGCTGTTCGTCGCTGTCTTGACCGGGTTGCCCGTTCAAGGCGATCGGGGCGGGGTGGGTCCCAGGCGGACGACCCCAACCGTCTGGGACGGCGGGGAGCATACCGCTCGACTCGTCCACGTCTCGCGGCTGGCTGGCTGGGCCAGCGGCCGGCTCGATAGGCCGTGCTGCTATCGGGCTGGAATGCACCGTTTCTGGGGACTCTGCAGTCCAAGATGAGGAGGCTCCTCGCCTGGCGTTCACGGCTGGGCCGTTCCGCCTCATCGGGTTCGGGGTCTGACCACGTTCTCTGATCTGAGCACGAGTGGGAGAATCGTCGGCAGATAAATCTATAACTTCTCCGATAACTCTTCTATGAGGAACCTCAAGGAGGCTAGAAGAGGGAAGAGCGCGGCCCTCCCCGGGGCCGCTGTCCTGTTGGTCTTGTCCGTCTTGATGCACGTGGTGCAATATCGCAGGCAATTCGGCTGTCTCATCATAGCTCAATCCCCTAGCGACTTGGTCGCGGGTTTTGGCTGATAACCAGTCTTTCCTCTGAGAATCGGGGTAAGATGTCAAAGGAACTAAAGTCTCGTGATCAATACGCTCTGTGGTAAGAGGATCTGGGACGAGGCATGATTGAGACAATGGATAATCCGTATAGCAAATGATACCAAACACTGGAAGGGAGGAGGACCGGCCGGCCGACGACCGACAACGCGCGCAGGCCGCGGGCAGGCGCGCTCCTTTTCTGGCTTGATATGCAAACAGCTGCATACTAGTGATGCAGTAATGTCAAGGTGAGGCAAGGCAGGCGGCAGGAGAGGCAACTAGAAGATGAGGCGGAGAGGAGCATATTAACTCACCTCCCCACCCTGCGGCAGTAACAGAGAGGGGCGCTGGACAAAACTCTTCAAACCGACCCAGAATTCTACCAACAACACGCTCCCGCCTGAGCAACTCGCTGCTCGATCCGACAATCTGTCTCGCGCGTGGGGAACGTCGCGCTCATTCCTGCGAAAAAAAACGACCTCGGGTGGACATGAGGTGTGCAACTCAACGACACAAGACGGCGACCGCCTTGGCTCTGCGTCCCACTCGGCCCATGCATGAAATAAACACGAAATCGGACGTGTGTGCTACTGTGCAGCAAGGGAATCGGTAGACCGTCCACCGTCCCATCGCCATATTGCATGAGTCCCCACGCGAGTTGAATGCGAAGGATAATGTTGCACAATACAACATACAAAGCAGTGGGCGCTGTTGGTGTATGAGCTTCTGCGCGAAACTTACACGAAGTGCGAAGCCATTCCTTGATGACATTATGTTTTTTCTTCCAGGGTAAAGGTCGCTACACGGGGAGAAGGGTGGGGGGGGGTCGGGCGAGAGGGTAACGGTAACGGCGGCGGTGGCATGCACCCGCCAGGGTGCGTCCGCACCACCGGCGCATCAATCGCCTGTGTGCACCACAACATGTAAGGGGGGGAACCAGGCCCCCCCCCCAAGGGGTGAGGGGGGGTTTGGCCCGGGTAACGAGCGGTACCCTGGGGAGGAAGAAAAACGCTCACTTGCGCGGGACAAGGAGATCGGCTGCCATAGTCTACGTCTGACGTTCATCGCGTATGGCATGGGCAGTTTACGGCAAAACTGGACGGCTGCCGCATTTCACGTCTGACGGTCATCGCGTATCAGCAAGGCGCGATCTTCCGGGGTGCAAGTCCACATGCGGGTGGATGTGAATGTCACCGTATATCAATGTGGTGCCCGTGTTCTTGCCGCATGGTCTATCCAGTCTGGAAGTGATCACACGAAGTGAACACTGGGGTCACCGCTCATGTGACTGTGCTACTACCGCGCGGCTGTCAGTCCTGTTCGCGACGTGGCTAGCATTCGACAACTAGGTGGAGGATGGACCGTCCTGCAAGCAGGGGGTCCAATATTCAAACAGGACGGAAAAAAAGATGAGGACGAGGAGTTGGAGGATCAGGGGACAAATGGGGGGATCTGTTCGGAAACCGTAACCTTGAACTTCGGAAAACGCTTTGTCAGGAAATGCCACCAGCCATCTGGCCAGAGCCGGTTCGGAGCGCTTCCTATTCCAACCCTCTTCTTCCCCTTCGGGGAGGGGTCCTGCGCCATTCCCTGGTCCTGGGCGGGGGAGAGGCGCGAGGGGTTAGAGCGTACAAGATGGCCCAACATGGCGGCAATATGGCCTCAGAGAGCCCAAGATGGCCTCCAATATGGCACAAGATTCGCCGGCCCAACGGGCCAAAGGCGTGCTAAGTTCTCCAGTAACTGGTTCACAGTGTTTCTAGTTCGCGCGCGCGGGGCTGCCCCTGGGGGTCCCCGGACGAAAAGTACCCCGGCAAGGTCCCGGGAGAAGCCCCCAGAGCGCTCCAGGAGCGCACCAACAGGACCCCGAGACGTCCCCGAGAGTCCCAAGAAGGGCCAAGAGAGAGTCCCAAGAAGAGCCAAGAGCGCCTAAGAGGCCCCCAAGATGGTACACCAAGGGTCCGAGATGCCACAAGGTCGCTCCAAGACGCTCAAGATAGCCCCCAGACGCCCCACGAAGCTTTCAAGAGCACTCCCAAGAGGGCCCCAAGAGGCAACATTCATTGCTTTTCTCAGGTGTTGGGAAGATTTTGGCGTTTCCACCTTTTCGGCATCGCGACGCCGCAAGACGGCCCAAGAGGCCCCCAAGATCGCCCTAAGAGGCCCGAGAGGCCTCCGACAGGGCCCCAAGACGGCCCAAGAGGGTACCAAGACGGCCTAAGAGGCCTCCAAGACGGCCCAAGAGTGCCCCAAGAACGCTCCGAGAGAAGCCCCAGAGGGGGAACAAGAAACAACATTTCGAGCCCTCGGCCCTAAGAAGCCCCCAGGAGGCGCCACGAGGCCCCTAAGAAGCCCCAGGAGGCCCCCAAAAGCTCCCAAATGCTCCCAAAGGAGCTCCAAGCAACCCCAAAGAGGCTCCAACAGAAACCCAAGAGGCCCCCAAGAAACCCCCAACGAGGACCCCCAAAGGCTGCCAAAAACCCGAACGCCAGCGAGGGCACAATACGGGCCGGCGGAATGAGCGAAGCGATGAAATAATACAAGATGCCTCCAAGGTTGCCTCCAAGGTGCCTCCAAGAGGCCGCAAGACGTCTCCAAGTGGCCACGGACGGCGCCTCCCAGAAACAGCCCCAAGACGTCAAAATCCTACCAAAACCTAGGGGGGACGTGTGAATGGGGCAGCCTCGCCTTTTCGCGTACGGTACTTGCTGAGGCCTCCGCCTGCCTCCAATACCGCCCAAAAGAGCTCAAAGGGGGGGGCCGTGAAAGGCCCCGATGCGGCCCAAGGAGCACCCACGAGCGTCTCATGAGCGTCCGAAGAGGGCTCACAGAAACGATGTTTCGGGCTGAGGAGTGTCGGTACTTGTCGGCGCCGCCCCATTCGCTCAAAGCCAACACCATTGAACAACACTAAGTATTTGAAGGGAGGCTGTTGAGCCAAGATGCTTTCAAGCCCTAGGTAGTTCAGTATGTCCTCCAGCATGGCTCAATGTGTTCCAGGTCTGCTCAAGATGGCAACCAGCATGCCTCCAAGAGCCCCAAGACGCTAAGGTTGGCCGCCTTCGTGGTTGATCGATGCTCTCCAAGATTGCATCCGAAAGAGAGCCAACATAGAGCCCCAAGAGGGCCCCGAAGGGTTGAAATGGCTCCAAGAAGGCCACAATATGGCTCCAAGACGCCTCCAAGCGACAAGAGATCCGCAACGGCCTATCTGGTTGACTTCTGGATGCATGCTGCGACGCTCCTCTAATCAGGGCAACTGGTGGGGAGTGGTGATGCGCAGAGCGTCAAGAATCCCCCCTCCTCTTGCTCATTATGACATCTTCCGGATGCAATGCATGGCGGAAGGGGCGGTTTGCCATCCCCAGATATTCATTGGAATCGAACGCCATCCCAAAGACCACGATTCATGGTATCGGCGTCGCCTCCGTCGCCATCACAAAAGCCGCCCCCAACGCCAACATCGATCTCTACCGTTATGTTCACAAAGAAAAATCTCTCCTGTCACATGCCCACGTGACTGGACTTCGAGGACGCGGTCGGCTTCCGGCCCGAAGCCGAACTGCCCTCGTTCCCTGAAGCTCTCGCGCCAGACCCCGGAGGCATCCAGAAATGACGAAGCGTTCCGTTGGGCTTTCGGAGCTCGAGGCGTCAACAGCCAGCGGAGCGACATCGCCCCTCATGCCCCAAATGGATGGGGTCACCACCACCGCCACCGCCAGCACCACGAGGAGGCAAAGCCGGATCGACGCAATACTGCGCGTGGCAAGGCCTGGCGCCAGACGGCAATCGAACCTCCCCTCCTCCCGAACCACACCACCACCCGCGCCCCGAGCCGCGCCTTGTCGAAGGCCCGCTCCTTGCAAGGCTCGGGGCAGACGCCAGAAAGCCGTTCCGTGCCATGCAGATGCCGCTGGAAATCCTCGGCAACAAGGGGGAAGAGGAGAGAAAGGAGCAAGAGGAATAATGACAGTATATGGCTATCCTTGTATCTTGTTTCATGCCGTTACCGCCGTCGCCCCTCACCGCTTCACTGCGTGCGACCGCCTTGCTCGCGCGTTCCCATGTTGGCTCAACTTCCTGCAGGGATGCAGGAAAGAGCTTTTACGCTCGAACATGGAATGTGTATTTTGTCGCGTAGGCGCGAAGCCAGTATGTGAGGGTTTGGGAAAGCAATGATCGCACTACGAGTTGCAAGAACACCTGAGCGACTGTATAATGCAAGAACATCGGCTCATTGAAAACCAATATGTTCAAATGTGTATGTGTATCCGCTCGCACTGAGCCCCCAATACAATCACACATGTAATTCGGGCAACGGATTTTCCATCAGCGCGACGCTACAAGCCCGAGTGACGTCATTGAGCACCTGCTAGGCTGCAACCCCGGGGAACAATCCTAGCGCCTGGTATGCACGGCAATGCAACGATGAACCAAGACATTACGGAAGCAGACATGATGTAGACCAAAGCTGGGATCCTTGACTGCTTGGCTCACCGTGCAAGGGGGAAATTGACAGACAGCAGGCCGTTCACACAATGTTTGCCCCTCTGTTGCTTTGGCTCCAGATGCTTGCACTTTCCGGGCCAAGCCCCGGTGGGAAAGAACCCAGAAACGCCCGAAAACACAAAACACGATTTGGGATCCACGCTGGCAAATACTCAAAAGAGCTTGCAAGCAACCAGCCCTTCCCGGAATGCAAGCAGGTGAACATGTTGGCGGGCACCCGTGGTGCTGTGAAACAACTGGCGGGAATGGCTTGGTTGCAAGCCCGCCTGTCGGAGATCCCAGATGAGAGCTGCCACTGCTGAGCATGTTGCGCTCCCGTCGAGGCGGAGCTCGTTCCATCTGGTCGCGCGCCCCAGCACATAACCCCGAAACCACCTCATGGAAACAGACAACAAAGGGGGGAGGGAGGACAGCCTCTGGTGATTCCAACTCACTGCGCCATCTGGGACGTTGATGACCATGTCCAGCCATTCCAGGCTCCGCCCGCTGCAGGCGACATCAAAAGATATCGGGAGCACGAATGTGAGCGGGGCAGACAAACACCCATCGCACAACAACTTTGATATGAAAATTGCGTCGTCAACGTAGCGCTTGCACGCGACAGTCTGATGCCAAGCCAGACCGGCAATCTGGAAACCAGCCCGTGCTCGAGAGGCCCCGTCGAGACTCCAACTTCTCTCGGCCTCTCCGAGGACTGCCGAAGCAGCAACCTTCGAACAAAGCCCATCGATGGGCGTCCCAGACATTTGAGCAACTTTGTCACCGACCCGGCACCATTTGATTTTCCTGGCGGCCGTGAAGTTATTCAGAAACTTTGAAAACCTGAACCATACTTGACGGCCTTTACAGGCGAAGCCAGATGCAGCCGTGTACGTCCCCTCTCTTTTCGCCTGGCCAACAACAGCGGTTTCATGGCCCGTGGTCTCTGTCGCTCTTTGTAAAACTCCCCTCATGGCCGCTATTGCGTCGTCAGCTCGCACCACCTCGAAACACTGCCCTGCGTCCGCGACTATGCCAGTGACAGCTGGCTTCTGCGAGCCACACCGGGCGCAGGTGCAAACAAGATGTCCTGGGCGGCTCGCCAGGCGGCTGCGCGCCTCCGCAAGCTGGACACATGTGTCTTTAAGCGACCACACTTCCCACGAGTCGCCGTGGCGCTTCAAGACGTGGGCTAAGCCTCTGGATGCAGCGCGCCACGACCGACGGGCCGGCCAAGCAGCATAACTGACGATTTTTCGAACACATGAGTGATGGGGACGAGTGCGCGTTCGCCCCAATCAATCGCCGTCGTAGCATTTACTCTTGAGCGTGGTGTACAAGCACGGCAGCCAATCAATCCGTTCCCCCAGCCTGAACATGGAGTGCAAACGGTTCGGGACCAAGAGCTTGAGAACATTCAAAACCACGGCCGACGCAGTATCCGGAGCGAACTTGCTGAAGAACCAACGCGGTGAACTCACAATGTACAGGATGAGCGCTGCAATGTAGTACGACTCCGGGAGGTGCCAGCACCGCCGATTCTGCTTGTCATCTCTTGTGACCACATGGTCGGGCGGAACATTATCCAGGTGGGCGGTGAGCTCGCAATACTTGTCCCAATCCTTGTCCCTCGGCCGCTCGAAGGAGCGCACGGCGGGGGACATGCAGAATTGGATCCCCAAGGGGGCGCCCACCTGCCACGGAGTGTGGAATCGGCGAGCCGGGGCCCAATCTAGCACAGAATCAGCCCCCCCAGCGGCAATAATCTGCACTTGGCTCCCACCGCGGGAAGTCCCAATGTGATTTGACAAGCCGACATTTGCGAGCCTGCGCCCGCCGGCCCCATTGGGAATCACTCCACTCGAAGGCTTTGGCAATGCAAGCGCGGCTGCTCACAGCGGGAGCGTTGATGCGGTCATTCCACTTGGGAATTGGTTCGGCTACGACCGAAGCCTGCTTCAGCCACCGCCATGTCTGAGCCGCTGACAACGCCCTGTGGGGCCAAACAATGCGGTGGATCAGCGTGCGATCCTGGGGGGCGAGAGGCGCTGCGACCGCCGCCTGGTGCACGGTCAGCCCGGGGAGGCCAAGCATGCGCAATCGGCTTCGCAAGCGCCTCCTAGCAAGGGCCGGGGCGCGCGGTCTCACGATCGAGACTGTCATGGGCAAGAGGAATAGCACCACATCGGCATCGCCGAGCCTGCCCTCAAGCAAGGGCCACGGTGGATGCATCCCTTGGCTGCCGAACCAAAGAAGCAGAAGCATGCGCCACTGTTGACAGAAAGTGTCGACTGGCCCCCGCACGCCGCTGCCATCGGCAACGTGTCGGCTCACCCGACGGTAGGCGTCCACAAAAGTGAGCCTCCCGAGTTCCCCTGGGGACACCTCGGCGGAACATGCAGTCCCGCCGATGTCCGGATGGGTTGCATGGGGCCCGCGGCCTGGAACTGGGCCAAGACGTTCCAGCTCGCGGCACGTAGGTGGCAGCAGCCTAGACTTGACATTTCGAGGTGGCCTTCTCCGGGGCATGGCCGAGCGAGGCTTGCCGATGGCCTTGGGGGCACCGTTGGCCGAAGGCCGACACTGTCGAATCAGCTCGCGCTCGCGGTTGAAAATGCTGCCCACGTCGATTGTCTGCACAGCGTGGAACATGGAGCGGCCCAGCGGCTGACGCTGGGCGAACTTATACCGTAACTTGTGAGCGCCTGGCAGGCTTTTGTTGTGGGTGAAGGTAAGTTGTTCCAGCCGGCGCTGAATGACCCCAGGGCGGTCGCCTCGATTTACTCTATCGCGCCTGGCCACCCCGACGTAGCGGAAGCACGGCGACGTCCAGTGATACAGACACGCCTCGTGTCCATCGAAACGAGACACGTGGTGCACAGCCTGCCTCTGCATGTCCACCAGCCGGGTTAAGGCGTGCTCTGCGGCATCATGCCCCCAGGTGTTCGCGCACTCACGATGCGAATGTAGAACAGCAGCGCGCCGCTTGGGCAGAGCTTGGGAAGTAAGTCTGGCTGTGTTTCCGCGGGGGTGTGAGCGAGTCCACACCAGTGCTCGACAAGTGGTGAACACCCCGAACAAGCACTCGATGTCTCTGTGGCTCCTGCGCCACGCAACTCTGACAGGGAACAGTCATTGAACGACAATTCCGCTCGCCGATTGCAGAAGATCGACAAATGCCTTTGGGGCCCTCCTCTGACGAATTACCTGCGCTGTTTGTGCGAAAACCGCTCGCGATACCACTTCGCCCCTTTGTCGAACGTGACCGGCATAGACCCTGCCCGGTTCAGGAAGCCCCAAGAGCATCAGAAACATACCATAATGATTCGTCGCGCCGCCTTCTGTCCAGGCAATCCAACCACGCTGCAACGGTTGCTGCCATGATGCCCACCCGGCATACTGACAACGCAAGAGGGGCACGCTGGCCTGAAACACGCAATCGAAGTCGCTAGACAAAAGATGCGGGATCGGAGGTTGGGGGGTGAGATCGAAGTGGAACGGAGAGCCCCCCTACCGGGAAATCGATTTCGGTTTCGTGTTCGTGCGTGCCGTGCGGGCGAGGCGAAACTGCGTGGGCGGGCGAGAGAAAGTCTCCTGTGGCTGAGGCGCGGCCGGACAAAATCACTCCCTTCCGGGCGGCCGGTGGCCCGCGGTGTCCCGCTGGTGTCCCGTGTGGCTGAGGCGCGGCCGGACCAAATGACTCCCTTCCGGGCGGCCGGGGGCCCGCGGTGTCCCGCCTGTGTCCCGCGGTGTCCCGCGGTGTCCCGCGGTGTCCCGCGGTGTCCCGCGGTGTCCCGCCGGTGTCCCGCGGTGTCCCGCGAAGATGATGATGATGATGATGATATGATGATGATGATGATGATGATGATGATGATGATGATGATGATGATGCTGATGAGATGATGGTGATGGTGTCCCGATGAAGATGATGATGATGTTGATGATGGTGTCGATGATGATGATGATAGGTGTCCCGATGATGAAGATGATGATGTTCATGATGATTATGTTGATGATGATGACGATGATGGTGTCCCGATGTTCATGGTGATGATGATGATTCCAATGATGTTGGTAATGATGATGTTGATGGAAATGGTGTCCCGGCGATAATGATGTTGATGATGATGGTGATGATGATTATGGTGTCCCGATGATGATGCTGATGATGATGATGGTGATGATGATGATGGTGATGCTGATGGTGTCCCGATGATGATAATAATGATTATGACGATGTTGATGATGATGCTGCTCATGATGATGATGGTGCCCCAATGATGATGATGTTGTTGATAATGGTGTCGATGATGATGATGATGCGATGGTCATGATGATGATGGTGTCCCGAGGATGATGTCGATGTTGATGATATATGTTGATGCTGAGAACGATGGTGATCATGATGGTGTCCCGATTATGATGATGATGATTATGATGATGCTGCTGATGATGATGACGATGACTGTGTCCCGATGATGATGATGCTGTTGTTGATGCTGCTGACGATGGTGATGATGATGATGTTGTCCCGATGATGGTGCTGACGTTGATGATGATGTTTATGATGATGATGATGATGACGGTGCCCTCATGATGATGACGATGTTGGTGATGATGTTGATGTTGATGATGTGGATGATGATGATGACGTTGATTGTGAAAACGATTGGGATATCGATAGTGGGATCGATATTGAGACAGAATGTGAGATCGATTGTGTGATCGATTATGAGATCGATTGTGATATCAATTGTGAGATCGATCGAATGAGATAGATCGAGTGATATCGATTGTGAGATCGATCGAGTGAGATCGATCGAGCGAGACCGATAATGAGATCGATACTGAGATCGATAGTGAGACCGATCGAGTGAGATGTTGGTCCCCCCCCCGAACCTCCTTATCACCCGAAGGGTGGTCGTATAGGTATAGGTAAAAGTATAGGTGTGTATATATATATACATAAATATATCGGAGGTGAGGGGGTGAGATCGAAGTGGAACGGAGAGCCCCCCCTACCGGGAAATCGATTTCGGTTTCGTGTTCGTGCGTGCCGTGCGGGCGAGGCGAAGCTGCGTGGGCGGGCGAGAGAAAGTCTCCTGTGGCTGAGGCGCGGCCAGACCAAATGACTCCCTTCCGGGCGGCCGGTGGCCCGCGGTGCCCCGCCGGTGTCCCGCTGGTGTCCCGTGTGGCTGAGGCGCGGCCGGACCAAATGACTCCCTTCCGGGCGGCCGGTGGCCGGCGGTGCCCCGCCGGTGTCCCGCGGTGTCCCGCGGTGTCCCGCGGTGTCCCGCGGCGTCCCGCGGTGCCCCGCCGGTGTCCCGCGGTGTCCCGCGAGGATGACGATGATGAGATGATGATGATGATGCTGATGATGATGCTGATGATGATGATGATGATGAGATGATGATGATGCCCCGATGAAGATGATGATGTTGATGATGGTGCCGATTATGATGATGATAGTGTCCGGATGACGAGAACGATGATGCTCATGATGATTATGTTGATGATGATGACGATGATGGTGTCCCGATGATGATGCTGATGAAGATCCCGATGGTGTTGGTGATGATGATGTTGATGGAAATGGTGTCCCGGAGATGATGATGTTGATGATAATGTTGATGATGATTATGGTGTCCCGATGATGATGATGATGATGGTGATGATACTGATGGTGATGCTGATTGTGTCCCGATGATGATGATAAAGATAATGACGATGTTGATGATGATGTTGCTCATGATGCTGATGGTGCCCCAATGATGATGATAATGTGATTGATGCTGATGAGGATGTCGATGATGATGATGATGATGACGCGATGATCATGATGATTGATGGTGTCCGAGGATGATGGCGATGTTGATGATAATGCTGATGATGAGAACGATGGTGATCATGATGGTGTCCCGGTCATGATGATGATTCTGATGATGCTGCTGATGATGACGATGACTCTGCCCCGATGATCAAGATGGTCATGATGATGTTGATGATGAGATGATGATGGTGATGGTGATATGATGTTGTCCCGATGGTGATACTGACGTTGACGATGAGGTTTTTGATGATGATGATGATGATGACGGTGCCCTCATGATGATGACGATGTTTGTGATGATGTTGATGTTGATGATGTGGATGATGATAATGATGATGGTGATGACGTCGATTGTGGGAGCGATTGTGATATCGATAGTGAGAACGATATGGAGACCCAATGCGAGATCGATTGTGTGATCGATTGTGAGTTCGATTGTGAGATCAACTGTGACATCGATCGAATGAGCTAGATCGAGTGAGATCGATTGTGAGATCGATCGAGTGAGATCGATCGAGCGAGACCGATAGTGAGATCGATACTGAGATGATGGCTGTGTGCCGATGATGATGAAGGCTGTGCGCCGCTGATGATGATGATGTTGCTGACTATGATGAGATGATGATGGGGATGATGATGATGGCCTGATGATGATGGCGTTGATGCTGATGACGATGATGATGATGATGATGACGACAGTGTCCCGATGACGATGAAAATGATGGTGTTGGTGATGAGGATGATGAGGTTGAATGTTAGATCGCTTGTGATATCGGTAGTGAGATCGATAGTGAGACTGAATGTGAGATCGATTGTGAGATCGATAATCAGATCAATTGTGAGACCGATCGAATGAGATATATCGAGTGCGATCGAGTGTGAGATCGATCGAGTGAGATCGATCGAGCGAGACCGATCGTGAGATGGATAGTGAGACCGATCGACTGAGACGCTGCACCCCCCCACCCCGAACCTCCTTATCACCGGAAGGGTGGTCGTATAGGTATATAGATTCCTTATCCTTCTTACATGACGCGGAAAAAACCCACAAGGGATGGGGCACACCGAATTCCAGGGTCTCCGGGGGCACCGGCGGAGACCCCGAAGGAGTCCTTCAGGGCATCCCCCGGGCCGCCCAAATACCTCATGAACGCTCCCAAGGCGCCTTAAGTAAGATATCTCCAAGGTGGCTCAAGAGCGCACTTAGAGGGCTCCAAGACTGCCCCAGAGCGCTCCAAGAGGGCCCCAGACGGCTTCTAGACGGCCACGGAAGCCTTCAAGACGGCCCAAGAAGCCCCCCAGAGACCCTCAATGCGCAAAAATCGCCCCCAAGACGGCCCAGTCGACGCCCCCTAGAGGGCGCCAAGACGGCCCGAGAGAGCTCCAAGACCGCCCAAGAGAGCCCCAAGACGGCCCGAGAAGGGCCCCAGAGGGCCCCAAAAGAATCCCACGGGAGCCCCAAGAAAGCCAAAGGAGGCCCCCCTGACGGCCCAAGGATGGCCCAAGAGGGCTCCAAGACGGCCCAAGCCCCCCAAGACGGTCCAAGAGGGCACCTGGACGGTCCAAGAATGCCCCCACCCAGCCCAGAAGAGCCCCAAAAGGACACCCAAAAAGGCCCAGGAAGCGCCCAGAGATTCCTAGAATGCTTCCAAAAGGCTCCAGGAAGCTTCCCAATAAATCCCGTGAAGCGCATGGAAGGTCTCGCGTCTACGTCCTGCATGGCGTTCCCAGAAAAGGCTTCAGAAGGCCCCCGATTCACGACCCATCTAAAGGCTTCCAGAAGCCCAACAGAAGGACGCCGCGTGGCGCCGAGAGGCACCCAAGACGTCCCGACCTCACGATCCAAGTCAGGGGCGTGCCGCCGTGGGCGGGGCGGCGGGGCCTGAAGCAGGCGGCCCGCGCGGTTGCGTGGCTGCTAACGTCGCTGCGCGGTGTTCGCGCGTGAATGCCCTGTTGGCCGGCTCGTGCCGGGCCCCACCCCCCGCGCAGTGAGCGAGACCTTCCTGTGGGTGACGCTCGCCAACGCGATAGTTATCACCACCCTGCACGAATGCAATGTTGACCAGCGTGGGCCAAACTATGCGCTCCA